CAAAAGATCCTTCTCTCAAAAACATAGACCTGCTTTGTAAACCTCAGAGAGATGTAACCCACTTACTATGACTCAACAAATATTTTTATGTAAATTAGTTCCCAGAACTCCAGATCTATATCATGTAGAAAGGTCGAAATGTGACATCTAAAGTTTAAGCATCTTCCCAAAAAGGTAACAGTCATTAAACATTCACATTAGTGTCTTTATTTTATAATGAAAAATAGTCATGGACAGTTAGAGAGCCTCATCTCACCTCTGAGCTCTGGTCTGGCTCTCATGTTCCCCACACAGAGTGGTTTTAGAGGGAGGGGCTCCCTCCTCTCTGTCTTCACACTGATTCATGGCAGAGCCCCCACCTTCACACAAACACAACAACATGCTTCATTACAATAGGATTTACATCACAGGACACATTAGATCTTATTACTGTCAGTAGCATGACACAAACACTGTACAAAATACCTGGAATATCAGCAGCCAAGCTGTCTGACTAGTTATGACTGTCCCTACATATTTCACTGATGATCTGAACTGAATCAAACTGCTGTTGACTCTTTCTGTAAAAGCACTAACAATAATACATACAAGCCATTGTCCTTAAACTCAGATAGAAATTACTGACAATATTTGCACATGAAAGCATCAAATATTTGAAACATCAGGATCCAGAAACATTTCTACTGTCCAGTTAAACAGTGATACAACACACAATGTTGTCAAAGTTCATCAGACATGTACAGATTTCTCTGGTAGGATTCTCACCTGCTGAACTCACTTCAGGTCGACATACACACACTTTCCACCTTCATGTGAGGAAACATCTGGAGAGAAGAAACTGCTCGTTCTCCATTGTCTGTCTGCATGTGATCTGAGGACACAGTCACACACCCACATCACTTCAGAGTCCAAGTCTAAAAAATCATCAGTGTGATGTCAAAAACCAGTCTAACCGGTGTCAGACGACCAGTTTATCAAAAGTGTTTCTGTTTCCTTATTCCTCTTGGCTAATCTTGGCTAATTCATGTTTACCAGTTGGGTGTGTGTGTATGTGTGTGTGTGTGTGTGTGTGTGTGTGTGTGTGTGTCATCATGAAAACATTTCTTCCTGGAGACATACCACAGAGAATGTTCTGAGAACTGCCAAGTGTTTATATTTATATGTGTGTAGTTGAGATCAAAATGAAGGCCCAGTTCAAAGATGGCTTTTGTCATGTGCCATAGTGTTGTGATGTCTTGTGTTGTGTTGTGTTGCGTTGCGTTGCCTTGTGTTGTGTTGTGTTGTGTTGCCTTGTCTTGTGTTGTTTTGTTTGTGTTGTGTTGTGTTGTCTTGTGTTGTCTTGTCTTGTCTTGTCTTGTGTCTGTGTGCTGAGGCCTGTACTACAAAGCAAATTCAACATACCCAGGATAACTTTTAGTTATCTGTGTTAACTGAACCTAACATTGACCGTCCTGATAACCTGTACTACGAAGCTGGTTATCAACTGGTTCAGTTGACCCTGGCTTTACCTGTCCAGTTACGAGCGTGTTCATGTGAAAGAGGCGGAGTTGTTAATTATAAGCAACATCGTCTGAACCATGAATTAAGTTCTTAATATGATATGAGAAGAAACGCTGATACTTGCCAGACGGTTCGATTATAGCAACTTTCAAAAGTGATATTCAACAAGGTGAAATGTAAACAACATGATCACATGACTGGAATAAAAATATATTAATTCCATGTCTAAATATAATTTCTATTAAAGTCAGACTTAAGATATATTGTAAATAAGTGCATGAATTATCATTATGTTTTAGTATTTTCCCTCTTCAGTCTGATGAACAAACTGTTATGAACATGTGATGCAGATAAAAGTTAAAGTTAATGTCAATCTGTTTCTGCTATAGAGAGGAGAGAAAGCAAAGAGAAGTAGATGATGTCTGATGAGTCAGTCTGACTGAAATGTTCATTTATAATCATTTAAATAATTAACAGTGTGTGGCTAACTGTTGTAATCAAAGACATCAGAGGTTTAGTTTTTATTTCCAGTTGTGGTCACAGAGTCTCCTCATGTTATTCTGAGCTGCAGTGATGAAGAAGAGAGTAAAAGCTTCATTACTGTCAGGAATCCTGTCGGATTAAAGAATAGCTGTTCAATTGAAATGAAGATCTAATAGTTATTATAAAGCCTTTTTTATTTAGCATGATACACTCTTTACAAGCTTTGTTTTAAGTGGACACATGGAAAGACTCAAACAGGAAAGCTATTCCACTGATTTTTTATGTTTTATATCTACTGATCTTTATTATTGATCACTTTATTGTAAACTCTTTTGTTCCTGTCAGGATCCTGTTGGAATGATGACTCCGTTTTTCCAGTGATTTGATTGGTCAGTAGTTTGGCTGTTGACAGGTTTTGATCTGATCCTCTAGGTTAACCTGCATCAGAGCAGGTTAGGAGTTCAGTGTAAGTTACCATGGTGATCTACCCCGGTAACGAGTGAACCACATATATATATATATATATATGAATAAAACACAGGCCCATATTTTTTAAGATGTCAATAAAATGTAATAACCAGTTTTTGCAGATTTAACATTGAGGTTGTGGTTGTAGGTTTCTACACTATAATCATGGCTTTGTGGCTCAAAGATCAAGTCTTTAAAGTCAAAGGAGAATGATGGAAATAGATTCATAAAATGTTGTTTGACAGCATTTGATGAGGGCTGTGAATTTAGGTCTAGATGAACTAACATAATGATTTCATGGAAACAAACCAGTGTGTAGTCACCACTGGTGAATTAGATTATCATTCTTATGATATCTGACCTGGTGTTATGCATGAATTCTTACCTTTTGGGCTCAAAGAAAAGCCTCAAATCCAGTGTGTTGATCGATGTCACCACAGGATGGCAGCATAATCAAGTAGTCTAACCAGGGAACACACAGGAACAGGCCTGAATGTATGTGAATTAAAGAAGTGATGGTTTATGAAACCATAAACCACAAATATAACAAACAAACCCAAAAAGATTTTTTTTTTTGTTCTGTGCATGGGGTCACACTGATACATACTGAGCCAATATTGTTTTTTTATTCAAAACCAGTCCAGCTGGTGTCATCATCGTATGAGTTCACAGATATGGAGAATTGACCCATGGGCTGTCTATGGAAAGATGTAGATGTTAACAGATTATGCCTTAATTCTGATGTTTAAACACAAAAATGAAAGATCAACACACTTATATGAAGCTTATCTCCAGTAGAGTTTTAGTGCTTCATAGTGTACATTTTTGTGGGCAAGAATTTAAAGGTGCAAACATGAATATATATATATATTTTTTTTTTTTTTGGGGGGGGGGGTTATACTATATTATGTTATATTAAATATTTGCAAAAGATCTCAACCATCTTCAGCACCATTTTAAAAAAGTGGCCAGATTTGGCTTTAAAAACCCAGTTGAGCCGTGGTCCTGCAGCCTGCATCATGGAGGTGATCCAACACAGCAGAGATCCAAGGTGGCGCTCGGCCATCTCCAAAGAGACTGATCTCCTCCTTCTCTTGCTTTTTTTTTCCCACTCTGTGATGACGATGCCAAGCTTTGGAGGGCCTGGCACCGACCACAGTCTCCTCCCGCTGGTGTGTGTGTGTTTGCATGCTGTACCATCAAAACACACATATACTGTACAAACACACATGCATGCAGATTAGCAGCGATGACAGATGAGTCACGGACTGGAACATCGCTTCAGGCAAAGACCAGAGGAAGGAGGTCATCCAAAATCCTGCCCCGGAACACACTCAACACAACAGAGGAGCAAACACGGACCTGATATGTTGTTTCATCATAAACTATCCTCTTCACCCGGTCTGATACAAAGTCAGGAATAAAACATTTAGAGTTTAAAGCATCCTGGTGTCGTGATTCCTCCCCCTCTGCCACCCTCAGCCCCCTTCTCACTTCAGACCTGCTGTTCTCCACCTGTCCACCAGATGCCCTCAGGCTCCGCCACCTGTTTCAATCACCTGACTAATATAGTGTTTATACCAGCTGTATTCCTGTTTGGTGGCCCGGTGCCATCCAACCAGTTCATCTTACCTACCTGTAAGCTTTTGTTTTCACCTGATCTTCAAATAAAGTCAGTTCACTGCACCTTCCTGCACTCTGTACACCCACTGTGACACCTGATCGCTATGGTAGCCAGGAGAGAATTTTTTTGAATCTTCATTAGCAAACATATGACATCAAGTTGACTTTTTTTGGATATTGTATTTCTTTAAAGCTCCATATTTTCCTCTTCTTCTGTGTTTTATTTGAAGTGTTGATCTATAAGAAGATATATTTGTGGTTTAGGAACCAAAAACCATCTCAATGTAGTTTTACATCTCCTCTCTCATGCTTCTCTCTGGAGCTCTTAGTAAACAACAGCTCAGTGAGCCATAATCAGAAAGAGAGGAGCGCCTCTCTTACTGATTGGCTCACTGTTTTCTGAGTGATTGAATAAAAATGTAGCAGATTTCATGTAAACATTCAAAGAAACCAAATCCTGCAAGGTTGGATGGTGGGTCCAGGTGGGCGGGGCTCGGGGCGTGGCTGAGGGCGGTGACTGCTTTGTTGTGACATCACAATGTTCCAGAAGTCCTGACGGCTGGTTTTAAGGCTCAGTTTCTGAATACAGGCTGTGTGCATTTCTCTGTGGACTGAGGCTTTGATACTTTCACAGTATTAATATAGAACCTAGACCTGATCTATAATCACACAGCACATGGACAGAGACCTTTAGACTGTATTGGACCTTTAAGTGAATAGTTCACACTGTCATTTTCACCACAGGGTGAGAGTTGGTAAAAATGGTGTCAGAAGTTTTTCATACTGTATGAAATGATCTGAGACAAAAACATACTCCTAAGGATCATTTACTGCACTATATCTCAAGTTTCCTGTAACATAGTGCAGTGTTAATAGGTTTAAACATCACCTACAAATCAGGAATCAGAAAAGACACTGGATTCTTATTTCAGAAGCATTTTGTTTTATTCCTCTACATCAGTTTAAAAGTAGCATCCTCATTAATCATTTATGAAGCAAAAAAACATTATTTTCATCTGCTGCCACAATTCAAAATAGCTGATAAACAAGTGTTTTGTTCAAATTGTGAGAATCTTTCATTTATAAAAATGAGTGTCAGGTATGCATTAGGTTATACACAATTTCATACATATACACCATATGCAATTGTACCACATCCGAAAGGATGTGACGTGTTGCATCACTTTTATAATACAATTAGTATACATACATTTTCAGGTATAATTACCAATTGCAAAGAGCTGAGAAGACTGAGTCTCTAAACTGCAGTTTACCGGGTTGTCATTCCTGTATCACAAACTGAGCTACAACCATCACATTTCTTAAACAACAACAGATGGTGAAATCAGTGGTGTACTGGTGTAAAGTTGTTTGTTATTTTCAGGGAGATTCAGCAGTTGCTTTTATGGGAAATGTCGACTTAATTCTGAGAAATATTAGCATTAAAAGTTCATTAAAAGTCCACAGGTGTGAGGCCGTTTGACAGTGATGGGAACCTTAATGCACATTAAAAGATACAATTATATTTAAAACCCAAAGCTTTTTGTATCCCCGAGCATTTTAAAGGTTAAAGATAACTCCATCGTTGCACCCTCTCTCAGTTCTTGGCTGTCGTTGGATACCTAAGCCTTCGTCTTGATTCCTATTGGACAGGAGACGCCTGTCCCTCCCAGGCCACAGTATCCATCAGGGTTTTTGCTCAGGTACTGTTGGTGGTAATCCTCAGCGTAATAGAACGGCTTGGCTTCGGCTATCTCTGTTGTAATCGGACCGAAACCTTCCTCTGTTAGAACCTGGAAAAAACCAGCAACAAAGACACACATCATTTAAGGAAGATATTAACCAACTACAAAAAGACATGTCTGTGAAATTCAGTTTATGGAGTAACAACAAAGAAAATATGCAGAGAAAATAGAACAAGAATAGAGCGTATGATGGGAAATTGCTTCTATTTGATTCCCCCTTAAATTTGGTTTTGTAAGAGAAAAACATGCAGATACCCTGGTGTTGATTTTTTTTTTTAAAGCTCTCATTTGCTGCATTAAACAAACTTCAGCACGAGAATCACTTGACTTTCAACCTGCCGCGGCCTCATATTGCAAACTACTTGTTATCATCTTAGAGAACAGAAGAAATGGAATTTATGTGTTTATGCAAAGCACGTGTGTAGCTCCAGGCAGGGTGGTACCTTTACACACACTACACACTACACACACACACACTCACAGTAGAATCAGTTGGTGATGACACTTTCTCCTCCTTGTGATAAAAATTACTCAACCAGATGGTGTGTGGGTAAATTACAAGACAAAGAGACATGGCGAGTATGAAAAGAGACACACACACGCATGCACGCACGCACACACACACTTATGAAACTTTCACTCCTGATGGAAGGGTGTTAATGTGATTTTTTTTAACGTGCGCATGAATGTTACATACATACAGCAAAGCTTGTTATTTGATCACGTCATGGAGGATGGAGGAGCTAAGTTTGGTTCGACATTTACATATTTTTCCTTTTATGTGCGAAGCTGCTGTTCGTCCTCCTGATAGGACAAACCTGAAGCCCCTGAAGTGACTACACCAAGGTGTTTCAGCAAGTAGAATGTAGCTCTATCAGACAGAGATCAGGTGGATTGGCTCGGCCAGTCGAGGATACTCCACCTCTTCACCCTGTGAAGCTGGTTGGTTTCCTTGGCTCTATGTTTATGATCGATCCTGCTGGAGGATGAAACTTTTTTCCAATGAGTTTTGATACATTTGGCTGAATCTGAACCACAGTACACTGATGTGGACCTCTGCATTCATCCCGTCGCTTCCGATAGGAGGGAAATCATCAATAAATGCCACTGTGCCAGTTCCATTGGCAGCCATACATGACGGAGCCATAACAGAACCAGCACCATGTTTGACAGATGAGTGGTTCCTTCTTTTCTCCAACTTTGCTCTTTCCATCATTTAGACAGAGGTGAAGAGGTTTGATAGAGGTTGTCCATGGACCTTATTCCATAACTTGTTTTTGTATGTTTTTGTGAAGTGCAGCCCGGGCTTTCTGTTTTTGAGGTTTACAAGAGGTTGGTGTGAATCTTCTGAGGTTCTGGTCATGAAGTCTCTTCTTGATCGTTGACATGGAAACATGTCCTCCTACATCCTGGAGAGCTAGTTGACTTGCTGTGCACTCAGTGGTGTTTTTCACGATGCAAATGATTTTCCACAAGACTTGTGCTTTTGACATTTTCTGGTTTGTGTCTGAGCACCTGCTTTTTCAGAAAGTACCCACCTGCTCATTTTGGCAAACCAATGTCCGTCGATTTTCTGGCTTTTTAAATTTTTATTGTGGTCTATCCGTTGAGTGTTTGACTCTATACTTTTACCTACTGGACTTTAGGTTTATGTTTGCTACATGAATTAATTGTATTGTACTTCCTATGGAGACTTAACGTAGATCTTTGACTTGTGATACTTCCTTCTTAACTTATAGCCTCACTAGCAGCGTGGCTCCAGCGTGGAGAGTCGGTCTGTCGGTCCACCACTTTTGTCTACACTGAACCATCTCAGTAGCTATACATGGATTGCCATGAAAGTTGATACTAATAAACATGGTGCCCAGTCAATTAAATGTGCTCACTTTGGTGAGCCCCTTATTTTTCCTCTAGTGCCACCTTGAGGTTAACATTTATGATTTAGATTGAGACTGCCATGAAGTTGTGTTCTCACATTCATGTCCCCCTCGGGATGAATTGTAGTTACTTTGGTGACCCTCTGACTCTTCATCTAGTACCTTCATCAGGTTAAAATTATAATTTGTCCAAAACTTTGGTTTATGAACACAAACCTGCAAAACTAACAACATTTCCACCAGCCTCAGCTGCACTTTGTGTTTAGTGCTAAGTAGCACATATTAGCATGCCAATACACTAAACTAGTCAGCAAGGTAAACATTATACCTGTTAAACAGCATGTTAGGATTGTTAATGGGTGCATGTTAGCATGCTAATGTTAGCATTTAGCTCACACAGCCAGTAGCATGAATGTCAACTCTTTGTTTTGTTACAATATGTTTAGTTTTACTATTGTTTTCTTATCTGTAATCGCTGCAATTGAATTTGCAGTTTCATCATATTCTCTTTTCACAGTTTCACAGTTTCCTCCATTATAAACCTCAAACACCTCTTTTCAACCTTTACTGGAAGTGTGTTTAACTTGCTGCACTGGTAGACAGGTAAACACACTGAAATATAGATGTAGCCCCAATGCTACACATTGTTATCTTAATCACAGCTCAGAAAGAACAGGACTGAGAAATGTTCAAAACAGCGAAAAAAGTAAACGGTATTAATACAAATCAACAATAAAGATACATTTAAGACTAATAAACTAACTAATAGTCATGGATGCATGCGTGGCTGTTTGTTTGTTTGTTGTTGTATGTTTGATAATGAATTAAAAAATGCATTTAAGTTAAAATGTATTTTTGTGTGTATATGTTTTTACTGTGTTGCCAGGCTGTCAAAGACAAATTTCCATTTCATGCAAATCTAATGGAAAATAATGTTTTATTTTATCTAATCTAACCGGCAAATTCCTTTGTACATTTAAGTGAAGCACTGTATGACTGGTGACAACTAGACAAATCTATACATTCAGAGACAGCAAAGCACAACAGTATAAAAAGACGGGTTTCATGTTAAATGGTACAAACTCACGCTTGCAGTTGGACTGGAAAGAACTCCTGGGGGAAACACTAAAAAGTTCTCTGTTTATTTTAAGCACAAAAACAATCAGACCTAAAGCTCTGCTGGGTAATTTCACACATTGGTGCCTCTAATAGCTAGTGAGAGGTAATTGTTAGAAAACCATTTTAGCTTCATTGACGTCAGCGTGCGGAAGTTGTTAAAGAAGATGTCAGCAAACTAACCTACAGGGTCTGAGCAGAAAACACCAACGAGATGAGAGAGACCAAAGATGTAACGTTGGTGAGTTTTGCATTTAATGGACAGAGTGTTTGCTCCCTGCTGTGTGATTCATCAGTTCCTGTGAATATTTCCCACCATGACTGTACTGACACCACAATTTAATTTGAGTAAGTAGGGTGGAGGTACGACGCAGCAGTTAGTCAGATCAGGCTTCTCTTTTCTGCTGCAGCTGCACTTTGTGATTCAGGCTGGAAAGATGGATTTTTACATACAGGCGGCAGGTTTATTTATACAGTACCTATCAAAGACAAAGAGAACATAGAGAGAAACATTTAACACAAAAAGAGACGTTAAAATAACTTAAAACAGAACTAAATCAAATAAAATAAAAATAGTTTGACGCAACGACAAAGTAAAACTAAAGTGCAGAAATAAATAGCCCCAAAAAACAAAGGTTTTTAGCCTTGATTTGAGACGATTTAAAGACGATTTGTTGTGGAACTTTTCAGATATGTGAATCATAGAAATTAAAGGCTGCTTAACCTTCTAGACAGAAAACAAATTTGTGCCTGAGGGCCTCACAGGTCTGGAGAGTTTGTTACCATTTAAACCGTTTAGTGCTTTAAAAACAAGTAATATTTTAAAATCAAGTCTGAGCAAGACGGTTCCTGTAACCTCCTCCCTGTGTTTACTTTCCTGCTCCATCCAGACAACCTGACCAGTAAGAGGAGTGAATCTTCTCACCTGGTTTGCAGTGATGCATTTTGTCTCATTTGGATTTCTCTGTGTGAAAGCAAACCAAACCAAGGGGAAAATGCTACAAGATTACCGACTCATCAACTGAATCGCACCGGAGCAAATGAACTTTAGGTGTGAAAACGCTTACGGCACTACAGAGGAAGGTTGAGAAGAGCCTAACTTTATGCAAATGTCCCCTGATGCAACAACAAGGTGAGAGCCAATCACGCTGGTTTTGATTCCCATGGAGACCGAAGCACAGAGCTGTTGACCACTCTGCTCCATAAGAGTTGATGGGATCGCTTCCAGTGCCCACTCTGCAGCACTGCTGTATCCAAACACTTTCAACAACATGTACTGCAAAGCAAAACGACCGCTAACGAAGCTTTTCTGTACTCTGGAAACAAACTGTGCAGCAGAAAAATGAACTTCCTCATATGCAGTACGACTGCACGAATGTCAGAACACTGCTGTCCAATCAGGGCAGAGCATGTAAACAACCTGCTCAACCACCAAACTACAAGTTTATGAGAGGCCAGAAACTGCCGACTACTTTGTATCCGTAAGTGAATACAGCGTTCGGCTGGTGTTATGGTTCTCTCAAGATGAACATAAATGTGTCTGCGAGTCAAAACAGAAAAAAAAATATAATAGTTTAAAAATAGTTTTTGGGTGAATCACAGACTCATAGAGAAGCAAAAGCAAGCAGAGCGGTTGAACCTGTTTTATCAGGAGACGTTTTCACACTTGAGAAGGAAAAAAATGTAAACATAGACAGAAACAGCTGTTGAAAAGTCTTGTGTTTTGAGCCTTGTGTTCTGAATGAGCTGCAGCTGTCGGATCACATCTGGTGGAAGACTTGTCATGGGGTCACAATCTCCCCTTCATGAGTTACAGCGTTGAATAATGGCCAGATGTGTTTTTGCAGAACATGATGATGTCACAAATAGCGTCATAATTAGTGTATGAATTTGTCATTGGTCAAAAAAGGTCACAGTGACCTTGACCTTTGACCACCAAATTCTAATCAGTTCATCCTTAAGTCCAAGTGATTGTTTCTGCCAAATGTGAAGAAATTCCCTGGAGGCGTTAACGAGATATCGCGTTCACGAGGATGAGATAACCTGAAAACATAACGGCTGTTGCCAGGGTGGAGGCATAAAAAAAAAAAAAAACCTAAAAACATTCATGAAAACGTGTGAAACTACTGATGCAGTACAAAGTATTTCTCAACTTTGGATCTGAAAGTTCAGTACGTTCTAAACCGTTTCTGCACAGCGAAGCTAAACGCATCTTTGTCGCCTTCTCAGTGGTTTGATGGCATTTTTATTGTAAACCACTGTAACGGCTGTGAACCCAAGCTGACTACAGCTCACCTTTCAAGTCTACAGGGGGGGTCGTTTCATGCTTAATACATTTTGGTAGACTATTCCTTTAAGATAATGAATATAAGCGTGTCTATGGACATGTATATGAGCACTGACTTCAATCCAACACTACCTGTGATGGCCAAAATGGCTGCGTTCTCCGTTATCCTGGTCTAATGGCATCCTCAACCATCCTCCCTGCCTGTTCAGTGTTTCAGTGCGTTTGTTCGGCCCTTCTGCTGTGTTAGCAGCCTGCTATAAATGCATAATTCACATCCATTAATTTGCATGTCAGAGAAGTAGATTGCTCATTTGGAATGCAAATACCTTGACTGCTCTGGTAAAGCAGGGAAACGTGAACAACACTGATAAGCACCCACGAGACACAGAGAGAGAGGAATGAGGGAAAAAAATGGAATGAAAAAAGGTGAAGCTGGCTGGAAGTGGGGATTTCAGAGATGAAAAGAAAAAGAAAGAGACAGAAAAGAAAAGAAAAGAAGGGAAGAAAAGCAGCTGTTTAGTGTTTAGGAGAAGATATATGAACGTTCAAGAAAAGAAAACGTAGCCACAGAGGTGTATCAGGAGAGAGAGAGATGACAGGACAATGAGCACACACTGCTTTAGCACCCATGCTTGCACCCACTGAGCGAGCACACATTATTACATAAAGCAAGCACGCATACACACATACACAAACACACACACACATTACCACTTCCACCTGCCATTTTAGACGCAGTGCACACCCTAATGATGGGTAGGAGGCAGGAGAAGAAAAGGGAGGCTCCTTTCATGCTGCAGACAACCGCCAGCCGCCTGCAAGGTAATTATCTGCAGTGCTGTTGTACCTTACACACACACACACACACACAGCAACACAAACCCACACATATACACACCAAATTCCCCAATCACTCTCTGTGTGTGAACAATACAATCAAGCCAGGCGGCGAAGCGAACACAGTCAATACCCTGACACCAAATTAACCACACTATTCTCTCTTTTTCACCTTCCTGTGTCTCTCCATCGCCTCTCCTCACCTGAACTTTCTCTCCTTCTTCTTGCACCTGTGTTTCACTTTTTTCCTCCCTCCATCTACATTTTTTATGTTTGCGTGTATGAAATGTGGCTGGAAAAGAGAGAGAGAGAGAGAGAGAGAGAGAGAGAGAGAGAGGAGACTCTGAGGATCAGCGTGGATATTAATAAGTATTCAGGAAGTGTCTATGTAGGCGTGTCCTGGGAAAATCCTCTGTGCTGTTATGAATTTTACATTTTTCAGTTTGTTGGGAAGGAACAAGGACAAGTGGGCAGCTGAGCGTGAGCGGCCGTGGCCAGTGTGGCTGCAGACACAAAGAAAAGAAAGCCACCTACGGAAAAATAGGGCTTCATCGACAAGAAAGACTCCACCCAAGATTTTAGGGAGCATAAACTCATTAATATTTTAACGATGGGACTGCACAAGCAAAGTCGGTGTGCGGAGGTGAACGCAGGGAAGTGATGCACGGAGAAAAAAAACAAACAAGAAAAAAAAAAACAGCTGAAAATTTCTCGTTTTTGCTCGTTTGTGTTAAACTTGATATAAAAAATATAGAGTTAGGATCATAAAAATGAGTCAAAACATAATGAGAACAAACCCTAACAGTCAGTGTGTGTGTGTATGTGTGTTTGTGTGTGTGTGTGTGTGTGTGTGTCCGTGTGTGTGTGAGTGAGTGTGTGTGTTAGTTTTGCAACTAAAGCGATTTTTGTGGAGGACAGATTTAAGGCCCAGATGGTTTGGCATGGAGTGTGTTTGCTATAGGCCAACTTCTCACACACACACATGCACACACACACACAGATGGGAGAGGGTGGGGGAGGCAATCTGGTGAGAAAAAAAATGAGAGAGGAAACAAAACCTAGAGAGATTTAGACGTGGTGGTTCGATGAGGAGAATCTATCTCGTCTATGACTGCAGGACGAAAAACTACAGTTTAAAGATAGATTAGAAAATGTGAGCATCTGTCCATCTATGAGCAGTATCGATAAAAGCTTCTGGACATTACTAATAATAAAAAAAAAAACACACACACACACACACACACACACACACACACGTACGTCCACTGCATTAAAAAAAAAACAAAAACAAAACACACAAATGTTGCTTTTCTATTAGCAGCTGCAGCAATTTATACATCCTCCCTCAAACTAATACATGGAGCCCAAACCAGCCTTTTATTAACCAGAATAATAGTGTAAGGATATACACATACACAACTATTTTAATAATACCTCACACTATAAAATATGACTGACCACAGGATGACCTGATACATCCTCTGAGGAGCAGGAATGGGCTGCCACGTTAAATTTCACTGTAATCTGGCCGTTCAGTTTTTGATGTTTATTGTTGACAAATTGTTTATGAAATTTTGACCTGATGGTGGCGCTAGAGGAAAAGTTTAGGTGTTTTATCAGAATCACAGGGAGCATGAACAGCCAGTTGTTGTTTTCTGATATTTTGTGCATAAAGTTTATAATTTAAAAAGCTGGCTGAGTGTCCAAAATGAGAGTTGTTTTCTCCTTAGTCTGAGCACGAAAGGTTTGAGGTTCAATTTATCTATTTTCACTTTTCTGTTAAGGTTGTTGTCTTGTTCATTCGGTGTCTTTTCCTTCAGCATTGTGGTTTGTTTGGTAACTCAACACACTCACCACCACTATCTGTGATCTCCTCCTCCTTGTTTCCAGCTAAGTACTTTCTCTGGGTTTTAATGGGTTACGATTTTTTTGTTTCAGTACAATGTTAGAATTGTCCTTAAATGGGTTTCCTGTACAGCTGCGTGCACAAGTTAATACTGTTACTCTTTTATTTCACAAACTTAAAAATACAAAAATTAAACAGTAATTGTGGCATCTTAAATTAAGGAATTTTAAATGAGTTCTTAGTACCGTCAACCCCCATCCCCTACATTCTCCACCTCTCAGCATATTCCCCATCCACTCTGGTGTCTTGGGGTACGTCCACGCTACTTCATTTTCATTTTAAAACACATCTCCACACTACTCCAGAGTTTTCCAGCACTGAAAATAGAGTCTTTTGGAAACACTGCTGGCCCTGTTTTAGTTTAAAAACTCTGGGGTTGCGTTTTAGTCTGGACGGACAAAAACAGAGACAGTTTTGGAAACGATGGTCTAGACGCCCATGGTCACTCCCTGATTGGCTCTCATCAGCCTCAGCTACCAGTGCTGAATACAACATGATAATGTTGTAACATTCAAAGTGTTACTGACCTTGCTGTTTTTGCTAGCAGCTGTTGTTCAGATAAAATTCTGCATTTAAACGAATTAACTGGAGAGTAGCCAGTCTGCGTCCTGTTTACACTGGTTTTCAGATGTGTTAGTTAATAGGGAATTCCGTTTGAAAATGCCATTTTAGAATAAAAATGTAGCAGTGTGAACTCGACTTATTCATTTAGCAACTTTATCACACTGTAATGATGTGTTGTAGTTTGATGACAAAATGCTTATCGGTAGATACAGGCTACCCTGGACCATGATCCTGCAGTTAGCTGAGCGGCTACGAGCAGCTGTGGAGAGGCCGACCCAGCGACACGGGGCTGTCCTGGTGGTTCAACTGACAAATGTGCTTTGTTTTACTGCTAAATGAGATTTTCAGAGTGAAGTGACCATTTTGTACACTTCAAGGAAGAAATCTGATGGTTTATAACAAAATACCTCCGCGAAATGAGATGAGAAAAGTGTCAGTTGCTAGGTAACAGACATAAAAGTTGATAACCAATGTTGAATTGAGTATTTAGGGATTTCCTGACCTGAGATAACGCAGGATGAAGGAAGATAAAATAAAGTAAATCAGGATTTGCTTCTGTATTACCAAATTGAGAAAAATCCAGTTGTAAGCTGTTCCTGTGTTAAAGACAAGAAGTTTCTGTTTCTGGATTTTGCTCATGAGACTAAGAGACGAATCCTGCTGAGAGAAACAAGGTTTTAGAGAGAAAAGGAAGGATGAACACATGAAGAAATGGAGAGAAAAATGAAGACCAGACTACACTAGAACAGAACAGAACAGAACAGAACAGAAAAGAACAGAAAAGAAAAGAAAAGAAAAGAAAAGAGAATAGAATAGAATAGAATAGGAATAATCTCTTCCTCTGCAGTTTCCATGGCAACAAGCCCTGTTGGTGGGATGGTGGTGCAGAAGTCTCAGCAGGAGACAGTTCGAGAGAGGGTGTGTGTATGTGTGTGTGTGTGTGTGTGTGTGTGTGTGTGTGTGTGTGTGTGTGTGTTAACTTGAGAAAAGCTTATGAGTATATATGGTGAATGTTACATGTACACACACAGACAGATCATTATATTTCTGTATTCATCTGCTGCCGTCAAAAGTGTCTGAGTGTTTCTGTTACAGACTGAAGGAAAGAAGGATGTGCAGCAGAGAGGCATGCTGAGAGGCATGAGTCAGAGAAAGAAGAAAGGACGGAGAAGAGACTGATTAAATACAAAGGACAGAAGAGGAGGGTGGACAGGAGAATGGACGATGACGGATTGATAGATATTTACCTTCTGGTATTGATCTTTGGAGGCCAAAGCTTCCTCGAGGTGCTGCTCTGTGTAGGTGTAGATGGCAGAGCGGTACGTTGTCCCAATGTCGTTCCCCTGACGCATCCCTGCACGCACACACACACACACACACCCACACACACACACACACACCCACACACACACACACACACAAATACATGTGAGTATTGAGATTTGAAGATTTCAGCTGACTCCCCCCTGGCAGAGAGAACATCACATCATCTCAAAACAACAGCTGACAGCATTTCCAAAAATATGACTGGTCTGTCTTGGCAGAACTGAATGCAGTTTTTTTTTTTTTACTGTGATCTGATCATCTCATCATGGATCTTTCCATCATGTCTGTGTCAGCTTGTGCGCCTGTCAACCACAATGTTTGGTCAACTCAAAGGTCTTACTGTGATGCTCAATCCCACAATTTGGTCAAAAGTCAAATATTTCAGAGTAGAAATGACTTTGGTGACCTTGTGACTGAAATACATTTCTAATACTTTTTAAACCTCCTCTTGTTTCTGGCACAGCTTAGTATTTGATTTTTCTTATCTTTATCCTTGATGTTGCTGTTTTCTTTTCTTCCTTTATTCTATTCTGCTTAGTACCAGCACTTTAATCTCTTCACTTGTCTCATTGTGTTTATGTTTCATGTCTTTATGCTGCAAAAAAAAAATCTGAACTGAATAGAAATTCTCAACATCTTTCTTCCCTGTACTTGCTGTCATTAGTACGTTAACATGTAACATCCATAGACTGTGTATAAAGATGGACATAGCCTCCGTGATGACACCCACAAGTTTAAGAGCAGTTGTGAAGGTCAGAGTGAGCTGCTCCACCGTTGCCATCTTGGCAGTGCCAGACTTCCCCCCTAACTCCCGACTAATACAAAAATGGGCAAAGAGGAGGGGCATGAGTGGAGCTGAGACTTCGGTGCATGCCGGTTTATGGCAATCACACGCTCAACCATCTGTCACTCAAAGTAGCCACGCCCTTAATTATACAGAATTTTACACCTTAATAAAACTTAAACAGTTTAATCATATAAAAATTCACCCCCTGTACAGTTGTCACAACATTACATTAGCTATGGAGACCAAAACTGTTTTTTGGACCAGGCTGTAAACATTAACATAAACATTATTTCCGCTGTAAAGTTGGACATTTTAACATGGGAGTCTATGGGGATTGACTCACTGTTGGAGCAGACTCTAGTGGTCATTAGAGGAACCCGCAGTATTCGGCTTCATTTTTTTCAGCCCTAGCAGTTGCTGCTTGGTAACATCATAATTTAAAATATGAAAATGTTTTCTTAACATGCTCATTATGACCATATTAAAATGTTAAAACTAGCCTGCTGACATGATAAATATATGGAATGTTTATCTAGAGGTGCTAAGTCGGGGACAAGTGGACTTGCTTTAGACACTTGAAGATACAGTATCTCACCTCTCATGGCTTCAAGAAACACATCAAACATCCTCATGAATCCAAACTAAGTCCACTTGACCTTGATTTAGCACTTCTAGTATTAACATACTAACTGTATGTTAAGTTTCTGTCTCTCATGTATAAGAAGCTAACCATCTGGATGAAAAAATATTCAATCTGCTGCACGATAAAAAGATTGACTCCAATTCCTATCCAGGCTGCCGTCTTTGTTTTGATTCAGAAACAGATGTGCAACTTTTTATCATTTAGCCCACGGAATATTTTTCATCACCTATGTGACTCAAATATATGCTAATACACGACAGGCAAAAACTGGAGCTAATGCGGCTGCTGAGAAGATGGCTAAAGATAGCTTGCTAACAAGCTGTTGTAAGGATTCAGTATAAGGCATCGCTAAACCCAAGCTGCGGTTGATGCTGATAAAAGTTGAGCCATGTCTGAGAATTTCAAGTTGAATCTGTCAAGGTAATTTGTGTTAAATTTGGTAAAAACTTCTGGTGCCACCTTTAAGTCAAACTTGATATGTTATGCCCACTGGTGATAACAACATTGTCTCTTCATTTTTTCCCATCCAACAAGTTTGTTTTCTGGTGTGTAATGAGCACTGCAGCCTCACCGCCTGCAAAGCAACAGACCGTTTATCTCGTTCTCCTAAAGATTTCCCTGAAGGGTGTCGTAAGAAACATATGAGATGAGGTAAAATATTGATGATTTATTATGCTGCAGCAAAATCTTGGTGAAGCTGCCAGTGTAACTCTGTTCTTACTCAGGTTAATGAACTCTGGATTGCCATTCAAACCATTATTGTTGGTGCTGGTGAAAAAAACAGACAAATATATTTACAGTTTTACCTGTCTCTCTTTCAGGCATGTTTTCATTCTGTTTATCAGTAAAAAAAAAAAAAAAGGTTAACTATAGTTATGAGTGTGGCTTTGGGTGAAGCTGTACCTTGAGTCGGGTTGTGGCTTTCCCAGAAGACTTTGAGCAGGTTGGGGAAGCTGATCTGGTCTGGATGGAAGACAACTCTCACCACCTCAGTGTGGCCTGTCTTACCTGCAAGATGTGAGTGTATGTGTTTAGATCAGAGAACAGCTATTCACAGCTTGTAAACCTTCTACTATTTAACCTTCAAGGTACAACACATAAGATTTGTACTGGCCCATTGTATGAAAATGAGTATAAAACATTTCTGTTGGTGAATATAAAAGAATTCATAGCCATCCCTGTGAAAACAGTCTCAACTCAAGGTCCACTCACTCGCTTCTTACAGGCCTTTAACCTGTCACAGATGCTGTGTCTCAAACTGGATACTTCAGTCAGTACAGTACACTGTGTACACAGTTACTCACTGGCATAGGACATGAGCTCAACAGAATAGTGTTGTCCCTTGTCAAACACTGCCGTTGTGCACGATCGCAACATCTGACTGCGATAGTCGCCTGCTCACTTGACTTAAATTGAATGTTTTACTTTCCTGTGTGTCCTGTGTCATGTCACATGGAAATTAAGCCGCCATCAGTGCCAACAATGTGTCCTCCTTCCTAAGTCACCGTTTTCACAAGTTTGAAAATATGTTGGTGGTCCCTCCCCTTCCTCTATGTACCCAAGATAGCGACCGTTGAGGGTGAGAAGTGTCCGTTGTTTTAGACTTACACGTTTGACTGTTTTGAGTGAACCATCTAGGTACTTGTTAATGTGAACGCACTTATGCTCTCAATATAACAAGTGTGAATATGGAAGTTAGCAAATCGAGAAACAGCAAGAGTCTTCATCACCAGGAAGAGTTTGTTAAGTTGTCGTGGAACTGTAAATGCTCAAACTTTGCATTTTAGGACTACTTAGTTGAGAAGTCCTAAAACAGTCCTACAGCTCAAACAGGCAAAAGCTCCAGAACATGTAGGTAAGAGGACCTTGAGTTGTGACTGTTATGTCAACTGCTGTTTCCAAAGTCAACAATGAACTGAACTGTCAAGCTCAACTTTTAAGCCAACATGGATAAAAAGTCTTAAAAGTGCTCTAAATAATAACTATAACAACTGAGCAACTCAAACTGCTGATGAAGACCAATGTAATATGATTGAAAGCCTGGAAGAAGCAAGTAGGTTATACTATTTCCAATGTCAAGAATGCACAAAAGTTCAAAGTTTGAATTATAGTCAAATTTAATGTGAAAAGTGAAAAATATCCAAAAACACAAAAACAAACAAACAAAAAAAAAACAAAACTGGTGCTGTCCTTCAACAGTCCACATCATTCCAAGGATAATTTTAATGTTAACAAACGATGGCTCCTGCAGACGGGCAGATAGCAGCTGGTGATGGTAATGAGTATGACCCATTACGCTGCACCGTTTTCCCCCTCGTCTTCTCCTCTACTTTCACTCTTATCTCTCTCTCTGTCTTATTACTTTTTTAATATCAGGAGTTATGGATTCCTACAGTAGATATTGGTGAACGGAGACAAAGCAGCGGTCGATATTAAATTAATGCCTCACCAGGCCCATTTCGCAGGAATGAATTCATCTTGGGCAGGATGAGAAATAATGTGGTGGTTGGAACCAGAATAGAAAATAAAGCTGCAGAGAGTGTCTGTCCACTTAATGTACATTTAACTGCAAAATTATCTCACATTCTCGTTATGTCATTATCTTAAGATAAACTGATGACTGTGTTTTTGATAATTAACCACAAAAAGATCTACTATCACTTTCAGTCCAATGTTCATTCTTGTTTTAGCTCTGTTTTGTTCTCCACCAACCGCCAACTACTATGGTTGAGTGACACTTCCCTATATATACTTTAAAAAAAACAGGCAAAAAATTTCAAATTTTGAATATTACCCAAACACAAGCAGCCATAAAATAACTTTGTCTGAATACATGGAGTCAGAATTGGAAAAAAATACAAACTGACTACAGAATAAGTAAAGGATGAATCTGAGCATCTGATGTCAACCTTCAGTATGTGATTATTCCTGATTTAACAGCAGAACATTTGCGCACATGGCTTTTATTAAATCACTCCAGCCTTAATCTTTCCTTGAACCAACACACCCAACATCCTGCAGACTGCCACTACTGACGAGACATTCTCAGGAAATTATAAAAACTCCTCCCTTTAGACCAGTCAGTCCTCTCCCAACAAACCTCTGAGAGCTGAATAAAGTAACAACCTATGTAATGCAAAATACCAACTATTCACCCTTGTAATCTTATTTTATTTGGTTAATATACTGTATAATGGATTTGTTTGAGAGTCCAATGCATTGCATTTTATTTTAGATTTCTATGATTAGTAAAACCTCAAGACTTAAAAAAAGAAAGAATTATGTCCAAGTGTTCAACACTTATTTGTAATAAATCATAAATTATTGGAACAGCTTTGTTGGATCCTTGTGTTTAAATGTGCACGCGTCACCAGATGTTCCGTGAGCCGACACACTAGTGTTGTAGTTTTTTCAGCCACAAACAGTAAAAACAAGCATAAATTCCTGTGACTGTGGAGGAAGACGGCTTTGGAAACAAATAATGATGAACAGAGCGAGTGAGTGAGAGACACAGAGACCAAGACTGCAAATAAGAAAAAATAATGAAGAGAGTTGTTTTTAAACCTCGTAATACAGGTTATGTTTTTGTTTTGTTTTTTCAAAAAGAAAAACACATGCAAATTTAATAACCACATTTTGAACCCGCGTTGAACTGAGTGTAAATATTTAACCAACAATGAATATTCAGATCATTCGTTTGTTTCAGTCTCTCGTGAAGATGTGAAGGTGTGAGGAGCACTTCATTTATCCAAGCACCCTGTTTCGATGCTCTGCCAACATGCTGTGCTAATTAAAAAACACACATCCAGCAGTTCAAACCAGGTTCACATCTAGTTCTTGTTATAAAATGTTTGTTGTAGAGACAGTGAGAGCAGGGAAGTTAGTGTTTAAAGAGACCTTGTTTTCATCGGCGGACTAGTTTGGGATAAAGTCTAACCAGTATATACAAATAAAAGAGAAAAGGGAATGTAGAATATGTAAATGTGTATTAAAACAATATAATTCACAGGATATTCAGAATGCGTATGTGTTAGAAAAATGTATACAGTTAACAGACATCACTCTACATAAAACTTAGGCCTACCAACCTACACACCGGTCTTACAATTAAAGACAAAGGAACAAATGTGCAGCAGATTGAAGGGGGAAGGAAAAGTGGGATAAGTGTCCTGTTCCTGCGCAAAGAACTTCTTCTGATCAGAACCTGTCCTAGATTTTCTCCGGCACATAGGAATACAAAAGTAATCCAGGTCTGTTTGCGTAACACATTCGACCATGACTCCAAACAAAGCTGACAAACTTGACCTGTGAGTTTTCTGTGAGCCGCTCCTCCTCTGCTGCACAACACATAAATCACGCACTCAACCTGTGCTTTCCGGCATTTCAGACGTATTGATGTGTTATTTTACCCAGATTGAGTGAAAACGACACACAAGAGTAATGCAAGAAAACTGGTCCAACACATGCTCCACGGACGCAGTAAGAGGTTTTATTAACAATATCTCTAGAATATTGTTCAAGTTATCACATTATCATTTAGCCTATAAATGAGATGCAGCTTATGTAAAAAGACATCAAAATTATTCATGTTATTATTCAGTTAGTAGACACATATTTTCAGGCTCTTATCATTAATCACTGTCATCATCACTTTCTTTCTGCTGGCTGGTAGTGAACCACGGTTTATTAATTAACACAGGGACCCAGGTGTATGAAGTGCTGGGTCACAGCAGCATCCAGAGACCACTTGTCGGGCAACGTCCAGACAAAAATCTTTGTCCTGCCATTAGTTGTTACTAACACTTCCACAAATCAATGACTGTTAGCAAATAAAATAATTAAAAAAAAACATCTTCTTATTGATCAGCATTTCAAATAAAACACTGGAAAATATTTTAGTTTTACTCAAGTTTTATTTGGAAAAAAATCATCTTATATTACATCTCTCTTGGTCAGATCAGTTCGTACTGCCGGTACTTAATGTAAATTCAGGTCTCTCTTGAAAATGAGATTTGAATAAATAAGCTTGGTCTCTTTACACATGTCCGTGTAGATAAATAGCCAGTCACCAGCATGATTAGATCTAAGTCCAAGCATGCTGCATGCTTATAGACTCACTAACGCTGATGAGATTTACTTACTCCTTAAGTATTGTAATTAGGTATCGAGTGATGAGACATTTTTCGATCCTGGATAACATCAAATCAATTCCACACTCAGCCCTTGTGACTGTATTTTGCAGTTTCAGATACTAAATTACCTGTTTCTACAATTGGCTGACTGCTAATCTATTTCAGGTAAGTGTTTTGCTGTAATCACTGCTAGGTAAATGTTTGTATTTTAATGTGATGCAGGTGGATCCTGTGTAAATTCAGCGTTAAGTTGTGTTTATGTGGCATATATGGTATTTATGTGTATTTGCCCACTCACTTGTAGCTGTATTATTTTATAAATAATAGGCACTTTATTTTGTATCTTCACAGATACCCAATTCAATTTAATGCACTGTTTTATTTTTATTTATTTATTTTTATTTATTTAGGCAACACGCACAAGAGCAGCTGTGTGTAAATAAGCCATGGGCTTCCGCTGCTGACTCAACGCTGTTCCTCAGCTGGCAGTTATACCCTGATTGTAAAGTCATTGTTTCTTTTATTCTTTCAGGTCTGTAAATGTCACCTAAAGCACCTTCATATTTTATTTGTAGTGTACCCTTTATAGTTTATTTGTTTATTTTGTTGTATTGTGCTTTGTTAATGTATATTGTTTGTGGACGTATGGTAATGCAATATTTTGATGCAACCGTCAGGATGTTAATGTAGTTCCTTAATGTTTTAAGATGTTATTTCAGTAATCTGTGGGATCTAAGCCGTGACAACATCGTGATCAGGAGTGTAGAGACTGTGATGGTCGGTGGTGCTGGTTTACTTTTGTCTAAATATTCTTAATTGTTTAAGGACTACTGTTTGGATAATCGAGCTAAACCAGCTGAGATGCTAATGCAGTTGTCACCCGTTGCCATAGCAATATTGCATAGGATCAAATTACACTCTAAATATGGACAAGGGATACTGTATGAATGATTTGAGTAGTTAGAAAATATATAGGAAATATGTATTTTAACTTGTAAGACTGAAAGTGGAATCTTTGGATTAATTAATTGTTTTCTATAAGAATATATTAATGCTAAGAATTGTACAGAGAATGAGTTTTTGATTATTTGTTTTTTGATATATTAGGATCAGGCTAATAATTCCTGGAGTTATTTAGGGAATGTTTTATTATTTTTGGATAGGCTACTGTGATTTTGATATATTTGTTCTGAGTCAGATGAGTTGGCAGTTACAGCCTGACAGTAAAGCCACTGAAGACCAGCGAAATTGTTGTTTCTTTTATTCTTTCAGAATAAAAGCACCCTCTTTCTTTAAATGTAGTCATCCTGAGTCCAGTGTGATTCGTGGGTGAGACATTTAGAGGGAAAGTGATGTGAACTGTGTGAATTTGACTGCTGTGTGTTTTTCTGCAGTTCATTCTGTTATTTCCCAAAACACTTGTCTCTGTATGTTTATGAAGCAGATTTTGTAGAAAAATAATTTTTCCAAAATGTTCAACTTGCTTGCACTCTTGTTTATGTCATCTCATCTTTTTCTGGTTTGTTATCACCATCATTGAATTTTTTGTGTTTTATTCGAGAATGTTTTCACAGTTGCTTCCAATAAAACTATTAAAATCCACCTGCTGTCTTCAACATTTGTGTTTAAGGGCAGGAGACATTTCCTTTTAATCAATCAACCGAACTTTTCAGGCTGTTTGACAGGTATTTGTTTTTGCTGTTCTCAGTGTTTGGACGAATACAACTAAGTTAGAGAGTAGGAGAGACAGCTGGTGATGCAGGTGTAACGATGGATTCATTACTGGCTCGGTGCAGGAATCACTGGGAGGTCTGGACACGCATCACACAGAAATACACAAACTCACACACAAACACAGTCTGCTCAGAGTGGTCAGGCATCAATAGCAGCCTAATCCATGCCCCAGTATAATAGGGCCTGGGGGAAAATGATTCACTCTTCTGTTTATGTGTCTTGTTTTTCGACAGTCTATTGACTTTTAGTAGACACCGCACTGCCCGGTACTCTATTTGAGGGCGTGTATCAGTGTGCAGAGGTTACCTGTGCAGACTTCGTTGTAGGTGGGGTTGGGTGTGTATCCTCCAGAGTAGCCCACCTGGGTGGAATAAACCCCTTTTTGTCTCCAAAACTTCCTCTCTGCTCCCCAGAAACAGCCCATGCCTTCATGACAAGAAAACCAAATGTCACACAAACCCCGCAGCACTTTCACAGACAACAAGACGGAAACGTTCAGCACCTTTCACCGCTCATTGTTTTCTGTTGACAGAAAAATACGCACAAAGGTTCAGATGTGGGTAAATTTGATTTGAATATTAACATGGACAACAACGGCAGACAAACACATACTGTAAGAGATGCAGCAGCTTTGAAGCAAGACAATGTGTTAGATTTGTACAAATCATGATTTCATGAAAGTGAAATTAGCAACAATGCTAACACTGTGATCTTCTGAAGATTGTTGTTATTTGAGCATATTTGAGTCAATGTAAGGAGTGACAGCCTAAACAGAATAAACAGTGCAGTGCCTGAGATATGCGCCGTAATCTTAATTTAGCTAAATCTAAATTTAGCTAAAATGTCAAGTCACATTAACGCCGCCAAGATCATCCCTGCTTGTTAAGTACAGATGATGAGTTAAGATGGAGACAGAACATAAGCAGCAAGATTTTATTAAGCACACAATTTATGTGGAGTCTATAGAGCAATAAAGCACAATGTATATCAAATAAATAAATATATAAATACACAATATCTATAGAAAAAAAAACAACAAGTTGGGAGTCTGTAGGAAGTAGGAAGTTCCACAATGATCAGATATTTGACATTTACAGGCTGGAACCAGTGGTTCCTTACGGTAGACGAGAACCTGACGGAGCTCAGCTCAGGGAAGGTTAAGGCTAAAATAATAAAATAAATAACAACCTACACATACATGTATAAATAAGATTTCATATTACAGCAGAGCAAGTGGGTACACCAGCATTTACAAATCTTTGGCTTGTAGCTTCTTGGAGCTTTTAGCAGCAGCCTCAGCTGACATTATAAAGCTGCTGTGAGTCTCTGCCTTTTCTGGAGCAAGGCCACAGTTTCTCAACACATATGAGTGAGCGGGTCGAGCATTCCTACAGAGGTCACATGACACTTACCAAACATGGCCATCTCTGTCCCCTCTGGGAAAGGTGGAACAGTCTTGTTGCCGTTCACATCGTGTTTGGCTGCAAGAGTAAGAAACAGAGGTTATGCACGTTAAGGTAAGATAAAGAATAAAATTATACGCAAACGTGTCCGTAAAAGCATAATCCACCTCTACAAGATATCAGCTTTTACTCATTACAAAACAAGATGTCTTTTCTGCTTCCAGTAAAAATGTTGTTAATATATCTTAATGTTAGCTGTAAGGGTTTATTCATTGGATTTGTAGCAAGCTACAACTGCTACGTAGCTCTGCTTATACTAATATAGGCCTGGAAATGAATGCTAATATTTTTTGGTCACTATCTTTTCAATCATCATTGTATAAAAGTTCAGTTTTCCTCAGGAATTGTAAACTTGTCAGGGTGTAAAAGCCTCTGAAACAGCACTAAGTTCTCTCTCCATACTCCAACACACCGTTAAATTCTCCCACACCCCAAAGGAATGATTTCAAACAGCTGATAAGCCACATTAATAACACTGCCTTTTTAATCCTCTGGAGTCTGAAGCTTGTCAGCCACTTTAGAGAAAGTCTGACTTGCCTTGACATTTTTATAAATTTCACCTTTTTAAAACACATTGATCCTAAAGTGCTACATGTGCTTATATTCAGCACAAACTCAGCACCAACAAACAGAATAGTAAGAATGTCAATCTATTTTTGTTTAAATCGGCTGTAGACATGTGGTGCTGAAATACTGTAGAAAACACATTTTAAACAAACTTTCACCTTGTAAACGTCAGTGCTGATTACACATAGGTGATTAAATCATTCAGAAAATATCATGTGGTTCGGCAACAAAACTGTTAGAACTTTGGAGTGGAGGCATTTTTTAAAGCCAGTGTCCGACAAAACAAATATTGATGAAGCACATGACAAAAAAAAAGAGAAGAGACAATAAAGGCCTTTTCACAGTTTATTGAAAATGCTGTGTTCAAACCCAAACACAATAAAAATGTGATAAATGGATAAAGTGCAATTACATTAAATTACATGGATAATACAACATTTTACCAACGTCTGACACAAGAACGAATAAAAGTTCAATCTTATCTTTATCTTATAATTTTCAGTCCTGATGTTTCCGTGCGGTTGAAGCCAAAGGTTGACATCACATACTTCACATGTACTTCCACAGGGTTTTTGTTTGCTTTCCCCGCATGCATCCTGCAGCACACACAGGTCCACAGGTCCTGTGTGGAGCGGTGGCCTTCATCCTGCAGTCACCGACATGCTCAGCCACCAGGAACCATGAACACCACTGGCTGGCTTTGCAGGGGTCTTCTGTGTCACGAACTACAGAGTGAGACGGTATATTGTAGAGAATGAGCTGGCTTTGCTGGCTGCAGTATTTATGACATGATGCAGTTTTACACTGCTGTGGAGAAGCTTTAGCCGCTTTATGACAAAGTTTTAGCTGTAGTAAAGTGATATGATGTCCTGTGCCTGTGCAGAGTTGACAGAGGTAAAATAATTGACCTACTCATCACAAACATCCCTGAGTCAACGCTCAAAATGGTGCCGTTCTTCCTCGCTGTCCTCACCATTTTCAGAGGAAGTTGCGGTCATCGTCGTCGCTCACGTCAGCGATCAGGCTCGGCAGAGAACCGTCTGTGTGCCTTCTTCCTCAGTCAGTGTAAAAACACCCTAAACACACTCTTGTTTATAGGGGTCAAATTGGGCGTTTTCAGTCATTGTCTTGCCTCGTAATGACCCTATAACACCTGCAGAAGTTGCCTTATCAGTAGCTCTATTCAACCATCAACAGCTGCTTTCTGACTCATAGACTGAGATGTGCATGTTGTTCTTTTTATTCCTCTCAAATAGTTCTACAACATTAATTCACTCTCTAACCATATACATATTAAAGTAGACTGCTGAAGGTTTCAGGGGATGTTTTTTTTTTATGTTTCTAGGACAAAAACTCGCTGAGTTTTCAAAGCGGTTTGGCAAAATTTCTGTTTCATACCACTGTTGGGATTGTGGACCCCAGAGGGCTGCACCAGCAAAAGAATACAAACTACAGCACTACACAAAAACAAACAAAACACATACACACACACTCACTAACACACACACACACACTCACACACACACAGTGACCCACTTAAACAGTGGAGAGCAGCTCTGCATAATTTCATAGCAGCTGCATTCACTCCAATCAGCACAGAGCCAGAGGTGCATGAGGACCATTTGAGGCCGCCCAGCCACCTGGCTGAGCTAACACGCATCAGCGTTAGCATGCTTGAGGCTGTGTGTGCGCACATGTGTGTGTGTGTGTGTGTGTGTGTGTGTGTGTGTGCATGAGTGAGTGGATGTGTGTAAGTGTGCAGATGGCTTGCTGTACAAGGCTGTGGGGGAGGGAGATGGATTAAAATAAATGGAATGGGGCAGAGGAGGACAAGGATGAACCCAACATCTGGATCCTCCTGCTCCCTTACATCCTCGCCCTTCTTTACACACACACACACACACACACACACACACACACACACACACACACACACACACACACACACTCTTCATGCATGGCAACATAATTGTCATGAGGGGCAGCATGCCTATAGACAAAAGCAGCCAGATGGATGGTGCCAACCCATCAGCAGCACTCCATCATCAGTTTGAATTTAACATTTTGTACTGAAGATTATTTCAGAACAGACACAAAAACACACACACGTCATCTGAGGCACTATGAGTCGTCCTTGTTAGTCTGATTACGCGAGCAGCTTCACGTCCTGCAGCGAGTGTCAGCGCGACTGTTTGACAGACTTCAGAGACACAATCTCATCTCCCTCTTCACTGTGAGGGAGGAAGGTTTGGAGCTGCAGCTACTTCCCGTCTTGATTGGCTGTTGGGGAGGAAATGACTGCAGCTCCTCACCTTCAGTCGCTTTTCAGTGCTGTTAATTTAGCCTCCATCGTACAGTAGAACTACTGTTAGTGTTGTCACACAGTGCACGCTAAAATGCTCCAGTCCACTGCACTGAAGGAGGGAGAGACATCCAATCAACTTGGATAAAAAAATATTAAAATGGGGTAAATCCTTCAATTAAACTTAATGAAATTTTTTTTTAACAGCACGTGTCATTAGGGTATCGTTCAAAAATGTTCAGTATTGGTACTGATATTGATGCCCATTCTTAACAATACTTTCTTAAAAAACAATTTCATCAAATCCATTTTAACAAAGAAAATGATGATACATGTGATGGTACAAATTTAAGTTTTACTTACACACTCTTAACACACTCAAACATGTCAGTGAAAATAAACAGCCAACTACCAGCATCACCAGCATTAGATCTTGGTCCAAGCATGCTGCATGCTTATTGGCTGACTGAAGCTGGTGAGATTTACTCAATAAAATTATTGAACATGTCATAATAAGAAAAAATCAAAAAACGTAAGAATAAAATACAATTCATTCATTAATTTAGCATTTTTTGTGTCAGTTTGTGCAATTTTTATGATAAATGTGTGCAACTACTTGTTTTTCATGTTTTCATTTTACTGAGAGAATTACATCTAAAACAAATTTGTTATCTTTCGGTGGACAAAGCTTTTCTGATTGTGACATTGAGTGTCTATTGAAAAGGTTTATCTAAATTGACGCTATTAATTTTCTGTCATATATACAGTTCCTTGACATGTTGGCCATTTATGATATGATAAATTCCTGTGTTTCAGCTGAGAGTCACCATCATTTAGATACAGTTTTCACACACTCACAAACTACAATGAAATTCAAGGATAAATGCTGAAGACCTGGAGTTCATGGATGAATTCAAACTAAGCTTCACTCCAAAAAGCATCAGCCTTCTGCAACCTGTACATCTACATGATCTTAAATGAAAATTTAAGCTCCACCATCTTGATACTGTTACAAATACTCTTCCTCCTCTTTCCACCTCCTCTCACATTATCTTCTGTGTGTGTTAGTAATGGCTGCCTTCAGGGACAAGCGAAGGCATGTTCATTACTCGCCCCACACACACACACACGCATGCACGCACGTACGCACGCACGCACGCACGCACGCACGCACGCACGCACACACGCACACACACACACACACACACACACACACACAGAGAGAGAGAGAGATAAACAATTTAAATGTAAATGTCAGTGGGGGGAAGACAATAAGTCCAGACAGAATACTAATGAGTGCAACAGCTCTGTGTGTGTGTGTGTATGTGTGTGTGTGTGTGTTTACAGAGAACAAGATAAAAAATAAAAATAAAACAAAAGCTGCTAGCAGAAGATGCAAATCATCTGTCATCTATTTCCTACTGTACTTCTAAAGAAATGTATTTTCTGAAATATACACCTTTGTCAGATAATGACTGTTGGTATAACAGTAGAACACACACCCACACATTTGTATAGCTATCTCTGTGGGGACCCGTCGTTGACATAATGCATTCCCTACTCCCTTACCTGAACCTCAACCATCACAACTAAACACCAAACCCCAACCCCAGAACCAAGTCTTAACTGTCAAACAGCCCTGTGTTTACAGTGTCTCTGATCTGAAAGACATCACAGTAGGAAAAGAGGTAAAAATGACTGTGTTCACCCGGGTGTTGTGTTTACATCACTTCTGATTGGAACCGGAGCCGATAAATACCTGTGTTTACTGCAGAGTCATGTGACCCAGGTGTGAATGGCGACTGTACTCTTTTCCATTGCCGACAAAAGCCCGATGTTAGCTGTTCTTAGCTGGTTTTTTGAAAAGGGGCTTAAATATTGGCAGGCTCTTCTAGATTTTCTGTCCTCCCTCTATCAGCCTCACCTGGATTGATCAGTGATAATCTGTCTCTGTTTTCTGTTCTTTCAGGGCTTTTTTTTAGGAATATAATTCATTTTACAATGGGTTAAAATTTTAAATGTCTTTCCAGGGAGATATTTTGACTTATAGTGACTAATGAAAAATATGAATAAATTCTAATCCTATCGTATACTTTTTCCAGCACTGTGATAAAAAAAGAACCGGCAAGAGTATTGATAAAGTACTGGA